ACCAACCCACCAACCCACCGACCAACAATTACACAAACAAAAAATCTTCAGTTTTTTATCATTCTAATTTATGTTCTCATTCTTATTCTAATTCAACTTTTTATTTATTTTTAATAACCTTTCATCTTCGGCTAATAGTCTCGGATTGCCACAGGGCTTGTCATTAGATCCATCCTTTATGATCTTTCTGTGTCCTAATTTCGACATAAAATAACTCTATGCGAATCTCATAAAGTAGTGGCTAATTAGCGCCCAAATCCGATAGTAATTACTCAATATCCTGTGGATGGTTTTAACGAGCTTCTTATCTTCAATAGAATAGAGATTATGGTTTAAATGCACTAGACACCGTAATATTGACACTAATCAACAGCACGTAAAGGACTTTTTTAAGACCTTCCATTTTGATTTCGTGAATTTCAGACATAACTTCCGTTTAACAGGATATGAAATAATCGTGATGTATCCCCTTCTCATTATAATCAATTCTGTTGTCACCACTTCCTATATTTCATGCAATCGGTATAAGAGGGTGCCAATGTTGGGTACCTACTAATTTTTCGGCCGAATGTCAGTTAACTGTAATAATTTTACGAGCGCTGACCATAACATTAACCAAAATAATGAAATATCATTTAACTGTTAACTACTTATTTTAGGTTATTTGACAGTTAACTATTATTTTTTGTCAATTTTCACTTAATTAATATCCCCATTGGCACCGTGTATAATAGTAGTCTCCCCTCAACCGTTCGTAGTGTCGACAGTATAAGAAACTATAGTGTAAGAGCAAAAGACTATTACAGAAGAACTCCCTTTTAATAAGTATTAATTATATTTGGCCGTGAAGTACGTCACATTCAAACTGGGTAACTAGTCAAGTTTGAATAGAAGATATTATGGATGCATGCAAATTTGATGCAAATGAGACAACAAGCATTGTATCGACCCGATAGCCCCACTTGATATGATTCTTAAAACAAAAGAATATCGCATCGAAGGCTCGACTGTAATAACAGCCATTGGGAATACATACTCATCACTACTCGTATTTTTATTCTTTCAATATTTTCTGGTTTATTTATTTCCTTGTAATCTTAACGATCTTATATTTTTTTATCTACTGGATTTTCTCTATCTGTAATATGACCAAGGGCACTAGGACACCGAACGTGGTTGGATCTATAGGTATTTTTCCTTTCGATTATTTGAATTAAATTAACGTTATACTTGTTTACTTATCTTGTGTCCGTGTTCCTTCGCTGTTATAATGCAGCCTCTATGCAGCCGTTTTCCTCCAAAGGTCAAATGGTTTGTATAGCCCATGAGCGTTGCTTCTTTAACGGCCGTTCCGTACTTGACTCTGTTTGTACTATACCAATAACAACGCGACCGCGCGATGCTCCTTACGTCAGTAATATTCAACCGTCCTAGAGTTAATATGGTTAATCAAATTCACCTTAAGTTCCATGGCCGCAAGAAAACGGCTGCATTATAACAGCGAAGGAACACGGAAACAAGATAAGTAAACAAATATAACGTTAATTTAATTCAAATAATCGAAAGACAAAAAAACCTATAGAAATACAACCACGTTCGGTGTCCTAGTGCCCTTGATATGAGGGTCTACTGTAATTGGCATTTACTGTAGTGGTTTCCTGCCATTGTGTCAGTTCTTGTGTTAACTTATTTTTTCATACTTCATTGCTGTATTTGTTTTAGTAGTTTTTAGTGGCAAAGCTGAAGAAATTATAATAAAATAGAAGTTACATTCAAAGGGAAGATTTTCCTTTACGGGCTTCCTATGGTATAAACCACAAGGTCTCCATTTGGGTAGATAGAGGTTGAGCTGAGCACGGTCGATCATTTCGATACACACAGCTTATTCAATCATGCAATTTAAATACCGATTGAATCAAATATTAACCAATTAAATATCATCTATTTTCTTCAGAATCAAAGTCATTACCAGTCTCTTCGGCTTGCGCCGGTCTTCAAGACGGCTTGTATCCAGACCCCAGTTCTTGTCGCAGGTTTATACATTGCCATCAGAACGGACAGGCAGCGTATAAAACATGCCCACCAAGTACACTCTTCAATCCTTCCTTAAAAGTATGTGACTGGGCATCGAAAGTGAAGTGCAGTGTACACAAAAGAGTACCAAATGTTGGTAAGCGATTCATATTTAACTCTGTATGGACAAATGGCCAATGTTTATATTTTTACGAGTCTTTTGCCTACAAGGATACCATGTCAAATGCTAGTATATTTTCTTATAGCCATTGAGTTGACCTCCATTTAGTTGCATTTTCCTCATTAACCTTTAAGTATTTTTAACATGCAATAGAGGCTTTGCATCATCACGTGCCGACGTCCTTAATACAGCTTGGGCTGCCTGTGGATAGCAGAACAATAAAATCCCTTAGCTCTCGGTACTCGAATTCTTTCTCATGTAAAACGATAGTATTTTTACGATGCAAAAAGAAATTCCCATACCGGGAGTCGAACCCGGGCCGCCTGGGTGAAAACCAGGAATCCTAACCGCTAGACCATATGGGAAATGATACAAACTTTGTATAACCAAATTGGTCAAAAATGGACAGATCTTTTTCGACTACTAGTTAGTATTTTCGATGCAAAATGGAATTCCCATACCGGGAGTCGAACCC